ATCCACTGATATTTGCTGAGCACCCACAGTGTGTAATGTGCCTTGAACAGTGGCACTCCTCTCAGAAGAGCTGGCAGGGGCTGCCTTGGCAAATGGAGGGAGGGCACATAGAGCGGGATGGAGCTGCTGTTTCAGCTGCAACCCAACCATTTCAATGCTTATCTCTTTTACGTATTGAGCTTTTACATAACGTGCATTTCCCATGTGCCAGACAGAGATTGTTCCAGGCTCTGAGGATTGGTAGCAAGAGCACTCATGAAGCTTCTGTCCTCATGGAGATGCCATGCTAGACACTGGGGGCTAACCTCTTGTTGGAAAATAGCGCTCCAGTATGGAAAAAGGCTGGTGTACGGGCATGTGGGTGCCTGCTGGCTGGTGGCCTGGAGGCTTGGATCAAGGCAGGGGCTGTAAGGCCCCTCCTTCTAGATTGAGGTGGGTACTCTTCCCTGGAGGGTCTGAGGGCATCGCCTAGTCCCCTCTTCCAGCCAGAGACAGTTGGGTGGAAGTGGAGCTGCACCTGGCATGGGTGGTGGTGCCCAGCACCACCTTGATATGTGCAGCCCGGTGGGCCCCCTACACCACTCTGTGAGCAGCACATGAGCAGCATAGGTAACACCCGCCGCACCAGCCAACAGCTACAGGCACACCTTCCCTGGCCTGGAAGCTCACATAAGACACCATCCGAGAAGAGCCCAGGCCCTCCACAGTGTCCTCTGAGAGCCTAGTGCACAGCGCAATGTCATATCCAGTATTTTCTATAACCAAGAATTTGGCGAGGTTGTCTGGGTGTGAATGCTGGCTCCTCCTTCATTAGCTGGGTGACCCTGGGTGACATGCCACAGTTTCTTGTGCCTCCCCCTGGACAGTACTGCTGTGGAAATTCAGTGAAATCCTACATGTTCAGCACTTAGAACTCTGCCTGGCACAGAGCAGGCACCTGTACATGGTGTTATTCTAATAACAAAATAAGTCCAACATGCTGATGTACATCTAAATATGCCTGAGATCCATTGTGGCAAAACACCTGGAGTCTATTTTTCTCATGAAGGATCTAAAAACCATTCATTCTTTCATTTGTGTGTTCATTCAGCAAACGTCTATGGAGCATTTCCCATGTGCCAGACAGAGATTGTTCCAGGCTCTGAGGACTGGTAGCGAGAGCACCCATGAAGCTTCTGTCCTCATGGAGATGCCATGCTAGCCACTGGGAGGGGACATATGAAAAGTGAACAGTATATATGCTATAGCGTGTAGTGTATTTGGTGGCGATGTGACAAAAAGCAGAGCAAATGAAGTTTCCTTCTCTGGGGTGGCCTCATTTAGGGTGGGAGTAGCTGGCATACACCACAGAAGCCCTCTACACTGGAGTTTGACAAGAACAAGGCTTCCAGTCCTGACTGCATTGTGCAATAATTGCCTGAAGATTTTAGAATTTGAAAAATGTGACCTGTAGGAATTTGGGTTTTGTCATTCCTATGTCTGTTTAAGCTTTTTGCATTTACGGATAAGGTTTAAACAGCATAGGGCAAGCCACCCTGTCTCCCATACCCAGGGCCAGTCTGAGGGCAGTGGCAGCACAGGGACCACTGGGTGCAGGTTTCTATGTTGAACAGCACTATTGGATGTAAGCATTCTCTGGTGGTGAAAAAGCAATTGTTTTTCTTTTTAAAGACACTCAGAAGTTGCCGTGATAAGAATTTGATGTGAACACTGAGTCGCATTTTTCTTGAAAGTGCTGTAGATTTTTATTCTTATCTTGTGAGGCTGGACCTCCAATCAGCAGCTATGAGTGAGCCTGCAGGCGGTGTACACATAGGTTTTGCCTCATATTTGGTTTCACTTATTGCTTTTTCTTTCTGGTTCCATGACAAGAATTTTTAGCAGGTTGGGAAAGAACTCGGGAAGGCTCTCTGTGGTCAACAGCTCTGATGCAGAAGTGGCGAATCTTCTGCCAGGGATGTTTGGTTCCCTTTGAACTTGTGTCAGGGAGGTGATGGCATTATCTTTCAACATCAGTGCAAGAGTGGCCTTAAAGTTTTCCATTGCTCTTGAGGGAAGGGAGGATGCAGGGAACTGGGATGAGGATTTGTGTGATTTGGGGGCATCACAACCTTTTGGGGCTGCAGTCTCCCTTTCTGTAAAATGAGGCCTTCAGACTCTCTCAGAGTCTGCAGTTGCTCACTTTGGTGACTGTTCTTCCTTGCTTCAGGAGCCTGGTTTTCATGCTTCAAAGCTGTGGCTGGTGAACGTGGTGGAGCACGGTCCAGCTGCGGTCAGAGTACTGAAGCCATGTACTCCACATCTGAGGAACGGGAATTCTCAAATTGTGTCAAACTATGATGGTGTTTTGGAGAAAGCATAAAACAATGGGATCTCTGAGGAAATGGGGACACGAGTTGAACCAGCTATATCCAGTGGCCCTGGTGGAAGCTGTGATTCTCTGAGCCAGAGGCACCTTCCCACCTGTGAATGGCCGAGCCCCTTTTCTGGGCCTTGGCAGACTCGGCCAGCTGGAGTTCCCATCCCTGTATCCTAATTTCCATCACTTAGAAAGTTCTGTGTCCCAGCAGTTTTACCTATTTAATTTCAAGAGATCAAACATGATTTGTCTAGAGCCAATAAGAAAGACAAACAAATTCCCCTAAAATAATGCAAACAAACCAACACAATGATTTCCACATTCCTTGATGATTAAGGGGTTGAGAGTGGTAGAAGGGGAGATTTTTACATGTGATAATCCTTGGCTTTTTTCCACCGGAAGGGTGCCTGCTGGTTAATCCCAGGCCACCCCACAGGAAGATGGCCTAGAGGACTTGTGCCACTGACTAGGGCTCGGAGGACATCCACTTAGGGAAATGGAGCCACACTTCTGGTAGAGGTTATCTTGTATCTAGTAAACTGAGTTTGTGAGAGAGCACGTGTACTGCATGTCCACACACAGGTTGATAAGCAATTGGGGAGTTATTTAAAAGAGTTGTGAAGAAAACAGATTGAATTTCAGCTTGGAGCAATTTACTGACAGTTTAGGAGCTCACTGAATGCCAGTTTGGGAGAGTTTGCTGGATGGCCTTTGGCTCTCTGTTGTGCACCCCAGGGTCAGTTCTGAGTGTTTCTGCCAGAGCTGTCACAGAGCCTTATGTGGGGGGCCTGAGAGAGTGCCCCTTGCCTCCGCAGCTCAGATCATTGCCTATAGTCACTGCTGGCTGGGTATGCGAGCCCTTAGGGACACAGCTCCCCAGGGCTGGGAGTGCCCAGACCAGCACGTAGGTCAGGAGCATGCCTTTCCATGCTAACCATGTCAGGAGTGTGCCTTTCCATGCTAACTGGTGGGTCTGTGGAGATAAGGTGGTGCAGAAGGTGGCTCAAGCATCCCTGAGCGCTGAGTGAGTTTTAGGGCACACGTTACATGCCGTGGATGTGTAATTGCTGAGATTGATGGAAATGCCTTAATTCCTTGGCTATCTCCCCACAGGGAACTAGGTCTCACCTTTGGTATTGGTTGGGCTCGTGTACTGACTAGGGCAGAGGCCCAGTAGGTTCCACAAATTCATCTACATGTGAAACTACGTTTTTGAAAATTGCCAGTGTAAAATCTTTATTGCCTAAATAATAAGCACTTGGTGCCAGTTCTTAAGTCAGTCCTGTGTTCGTGTCTCACTGCCCTGACTACCTATAGTGGTGAAGACAGCAGGATACACACATGCTGGCCATTCCTTCTCATTGAGCTATTAGGGTTTCCTGCGTCCGTGAAGCAGAATGCCTAACTGGTTCACTTGGATTTCCAAGTAAGTCCTCCTCCTTTGTCTTTGTTCCTGCATCAGGCTCATCCCTGGACTCCTGGCGTCTGGTGGGTGGGCAGTGGGCACAGGGTCCTCCTGTCACCTCAGTTAGCAAGGCAGATTTGTCTAGAACATTTGCAATTTTAGTGATCAACCACTCGGAAAAAGTCTTTCCCAGATGGTTACATTTATGGTTTTGTGATTCGTGGGTGATACTCTCTGAACCTTTGGACAGCCCTGGTTATTTTTATGGGGAACCTTCCAATCCCTTGAGTTAGCAGTTTGACTCATGCTCAGAAGCAGAAATGCAGGAACTAGTTCCCTCACCACTGTGCCCATGCACAGGTGGTAGTAGAGATCAGGTTATCACGGCTCCTGGTAAAGTGCTTTAATTTCTTCACTGCTTATGAGCAAATGTGCTTGCTTAACTTTTGCAAAGTTATGGTTGGGAAACAGTGACTCATTTGGAGAACCGAGAGCCCCTCATGGGGTTGGGCTCTGTGAAGTGCATCTGGCCTCAGTTCCAAGTAGGTCTTGGGAGCCCCTGCAGGTCTCACGAGTCCCCAAGCCTTTTGCATTGACAGGGGAGTCACCAGCCACAGGACCTGGGGATGGAGCTAATCTGAGGGCAACCCACCCAGGGAGGAGGCAGCTGCTGCCAGGAGGTGGCGGTTGTGGGCTATGTGGCCATCCTGGCCCGGGCCAGAGGACATGGGTCGGGCTGTTGGGAGTGAGAGGACACCAGACTCCACAGCTTTGCGGCAGTGGGCCAGGTAGGCAGAGGGGCAAAAAATACAGTGGTGGCTGTAAATCAGCAAGGGTGCATGCTGGCCTGTGGGGCAGGCTGTTTGTCTGGCTGGCCTCCACGTCCCATGTGGACACAGGTAGCTGTCTGCTCATATGCACTGGAGGCTGTACTTGTAGAGGTTTAGGGTATGGGTTGGGACCCTGGCTCTAATGTGGAGGAAGCTACTGCTTTGGGCAGGTGGGCCTGCTCTTACCTCACCTCGGACAGATAGGAGGCCGGTCCTGGGAGGGGAAGCAAAGGTCGAACAAAGCTGGAGCCACCGGCTGCCGCTGCCCCTCACACTGTGTGATAGCCACTGTTCATCTGCCCAGCCTGCGAATCACCGAGGGTCTGGTGGGGTCAGCTGGTGACAGGACTAGGTTACAAGGGCACATTGTTTTACAGAGCATAACAAACAGACAGGCAAGCCATTTACAGTATCTATTTACTCCATGATAAGAGGAGTTACACTTAAGTCCATAACAAGACTGTCCACAGGAGGGTAGAAAGCAGCAACTGCTTGGAAGGAGAGAAAAACAGTGATTCACCGATTTGTCTTTTGAGTGCTGAGACCAGTTGGGCTGCCCACGTCTGATGCAAGGGGAGTCCCGAGCAGCCCCCTGGGGCCTGTGTGGTGGGTGCCTCTGTCCCTTCCCAGCAGCCCCCAGGGGCCTCCACAGTGGGAGCTTATGCCCCATGCCCTGGATGGGCTCCCCCCATGTGGCAGGAGTGTTTGCCGCTCCTCTGAGTCAGGAGTGACCTGAGAACTTTGACACTTTTGGAGGGAAGCTCTGGGCCTGGCCTGCAAGGCTGGCAGTTTCCTCTTTCTCTCAAATCCACCTGTGGGGAGAGCCAGTGACCACAGAGGCTAACTAGCCACATGGGAGTGCCAACCCCACTCCCGCATGGGGTGAGGGAACCATCTGGAACATGCTGGCCCCCACACACAATAGGTGTAGGGGGAGACATCAGGGCTGCAGGGCGCACATCAGGGCACATGCTCATGGGCTCTGCATGGAGGCTGGCCATTCCAGTCGGCTTCACTTGTCCATCTCCAGAAGGGTGAGCAGTGGCTCTGTGTGGCGCTGCTGAACTGTGGAGCAGAGGGCTGGAAACCACGCAGCACTTCCTGCCCTGTCAGCCCTGTCTTTGCCATGTGAGAAGCATCTCTAGTGCCCCCACCTCCCCAGGCAGGACAGTGGGGGACAGCTTCAGCACCTGCCTCTCCCTTTGGGAGCTAGACAAGATATCATGGTTTAGGAATAATCACGCTCTTAATTTGTTGGTTTCACACTGTTCTCCATCTTCCTGTGCATATATACAAATATGCAAATTTAGGTAGATAGATATTTATTATTTTCCATAAATAGGGTTTTATTTTTTATGTGGTCTTGTTACCTAATTTTCAATACAAAAATATGTCATGGACCTCTGTCCATGGCAATAAAACTACCTTTGCATCAGTATTTTTTAATGGTTGGAAGAATTCCTTTGTATATGTGTACAGTAACTTACCTAGCCAGTTTCTTGTTAATGGATGTGTATATTGTTTCCTGTGAAAAGACAAGAAAAAAAAGAGAAGGGGAAAGTGGGCCAGGTCCATGACCTGGGCCATGCCCAGCCCAGCAGGGGGTGGGCCACACACCAGGGGTCTTGAGGTGGAGGTGCTGGCACAGAGCCTGGAATGCTCAGCCTTTTCTTATCTCGAAAATGTGTTGTGCAAAACTTCAGGCTCCAGCTGAGCCTGATAAGAGCGGGGTGGACAGCTCCAGGGACCCAGACATCTGGAACCCATTTCTGTGGGGAATCAATGATCCACAGGCAAATTTATGTCCTGCCCATGTCCAGAAACCCATGAAGGGATCAGTAAGTGGCCCCTCAGGCAGTTCTTCTCTGCCAGGACACTCTCCTTGTGGGAATCCCACACCTGCCGAGCAGGGCTAGTGCAGGAAGCCCTAAGGAGCTTCCTGACATTTACTGAGTCCTCACGGGTCAAGGGGGGCATTGCCCAGCCTGGCTCACTCGCCATTACATCGCAGTGGGCATGGCAGGCTGGTGAGACTGCCTATATGGCCACAGCCTAGTCTCCTCACCTGCTGAGCCATGCTGCCCATTGCCAGGGCTGCCGTTCCTTATACTTGGTCCTGGCTCCCTTGGGAGCGGATCCTTTGAGGTCCTGGTTCGCCCTGTAGCGGCTCTCTTATCCCAGTGGCTTGGTTCCACCTTGCTCACTTGTTAACTGGGGCAGCAGACTGCAGTTCACAGAGGAAAGAGGGCAGAGCAGCTGTTCCCAGTAACAGTAACGATGCGATTGCTGAGACAAACATTTTCATGGTGATGCATGGGAACACTAAATCCAAACCACATTGTTTAGTTTTCACTCCAGCAAAGGGGAATGCCACAGCCGTTAAAGTAAATGGAAGAGATCATAGTTTAGAAAATATGACAGAGTTGAAAACTTAAAGCTGTATCACACAGCAACATCCTTTAGAGAACAACAATTGATACAAGGGAGTGTGTATATATTTCCACAGCAGTTTATTAGTTTGGAGTCTTCCCTAGTCCAAAAATGGAGCCCAGTGGCCCTGAGTCAGGGGTGCCTCAGGCAGGCAGTTAGGAGGAGGTAGGAACACTTAACAGTCACTGCTGGGAAGGGACACATGTTGACACACTGGAGGAATGTGCTGGACCCTCAGAATCGCTTTCCTGGGGCTGCTTCCGCTGGATATTTGTCTCTGACATCCAATGCCGTTTATGGAGACGTGTACCCCTGGTATTTACGTGCTCTAGGTCCCTGCTTTTCCTGTGGATTTAGAAGTCGCCAGGAGTCTGTAAACACTGCAGTGGAGGGTAGTTTCACAGAGGTCAGAGCAGGCTCTAGGGAGGGCGGGGGTCATCCCACGCCCAGAAGGAGCGGTGCAGCGCACGGTGGGGGCGCTGCTTCCATCTGCCAGAGCAGAGCTGGGGTAGGGGGCAGGGTGCTGAGGAATCTCTGAGGCAAACTCCAAGGCCCCTTTGCACCGGCTTGGGGATATGCTGGGAACCGTGTTCGAAGCAGAGAATGGGAGCCAGGGTGCTGTCAGCAAGCATTTCTGTATAAGCAACTCTGGCAAAAAGTTGTCAGAATACAGGAACTGAATCCCCAAAGCGTACTTAATTTCTGTGATTTCTTTTTCATTGTGATAAAATCTCAATGTCATTTCGTGTTTGTAATTGTGCATTCTCTTTCTTAAAGAAGGTCCCTACTACTGGTTCAGATTCTGGCCCCACAGCAGCTGGAGCCTACCACTGCCCTCTCTGGCTTGTGTCACCCTTGAAGTGCGCTCTCCAGACAGCACCCCACTCACCGCCGTCCCGACGCGCACCCACACCGGCCGGCACCTGCCGTCCCGCGGGCAAGTCACCCACTCCCAGAGCAGACCGCACGCGGCAGACTGCAGCCAGCGTTTGGGCCCAAGATGAACTTGCTTCCAGGGCCCCTTCCCGAGCCGGCGAGCGCCCCCTGTCTGGCGAAGCGCTTGCTTAGGGAAGGGAAGCAGATGAAGAGGAGACGGCGTCTGCATCCGCGCTCCGGGGCTGGCGGCCGCAGCAGTGAGTGGCGACGGAGTGGGACGCGACCCCACGCGGGAACAACCGTCGCCCTGGCGACGAGCGCCAGGGGACGCGGCTTCCTACCACCCCGCGGGGTCCCGGGCGCCGGGGGTGGAGGCAGGGCCTGCCGGTGCTAGCCCATGGCCGGCGGGTGCTCCGAGAGCAGCCAGGCGTTTTTGCCCTCTGAGCATTAGCTCCTGCCCTGCCCTCCTGAGTCGGGCTTGCGTGCCCGGCGGGCAGCACCGGCGGGAAACAGGAGCAGGGCCTCCCTCGGCCGCCATGCTGGGCCTGGGAACCGCTCAGCAGGGCCCTTTTGTTAAGCTCAGGGCCTGGCGGCCTCAGCCATCTCACACAGTTTCCATTTTACCCATCAGTAAATAAAAAACCCAGCAGTCCTGCTCTCTAGTGAGGCCAAACAGCAGGCCGTACAGCTCTCCCAGAAGGAGGACATACATGCTTTTGTTTTATTTCATAATCCTTGGTCACTCTCCAAAGTTTTAGCAAAGGAGGAGGACCTGGCAGGGCAGCAGTGGCTCTCTCTGCTGGAAGAGGCTTCGGAGTCCGCCCTCAGGCACCTCTGCCAGGCTGCTGAGCACAGGGACCAGTGGCCCCCCAGGGCGTGCTCCCTACTTGTCCTCCCCTAGTTTGCAGGCCTCATCCAGGGAAGGACCTTCCCATGAGGAGCAAGAAGGTGGCCTGGCTAGGTGATACCCTGCTGTCTCAGATGGCAGTCCTGAGCACTAGGCAGGGCATTTACCCAGCTGGCCCCTGGGTGCAGTCCAGCCCATGGATTGCAGGAGCAGGGACAGAGCTCAAGCCCGGCACAGCGAGAATCATAGGGCTGGGCTAAAACAGGGCTGCAGGCTTCTGCCCACATGGGGTCTAACTTCATATGTCTGTGTGGGCCTTGGAAATTAGCAGTTTGAAGAGCTGCATCTGAATAGGCGTCTGCTTTCACCTGGGTCCCTGCCGCAGACCAGGTCAGTGGATCTCGACCTTGGCACCAGTTAGACTCACTTGGGGAGCGTCACCAGCTCCAGGCAATCAGACTGGGAAGCAGAAAACAGTGTACTGTGTCTTCCTCTGGGGATGAACTGACTGTCCCACGGGGAGACCAATTTCCTGCACAGAGTAACCTCTGTTACCTGATGCTCTGGAGGACCTTATAGAATCATCAGCAGAGGGAGGCAATGAAGTTTGTATTAGTGCCTCATCAAACCATTGGGCTCTTCAAAAAGTCATCATACAGATACTTAAAGCCAGAGTTAAGGTCTTAAATGAATCAAGCAGTTGTCTCCATGTGACTAAAAGTGTAAAGCATTAGGAGCCTGCTGGTACCTTCTGGGTGGCCTCTGGAAGGATGGCTGCACCCTCATCGTGCTTGGGCACCTGCTTTAAGGCACTTGGTCTGCAAAAAGTAGCACCGGAGCAAATACACACTTCTGTCACTCTGCAAAATAGTTTAGTGACTAATCTGGAAATAACCCAGCTCATATTTTTGCCCCAAATGTTTTTCAAGCATGTGTATAAGATGCAAAAAATGTTTTTTAAAAGATAGAAACTACACTTATCCCTTAAAACAAAAATCATGTTCACTGAAGGCCATTATCATGCTCTAAGAATGACTCAGTGTCCTGAGTGAATTTGCTGAAGTTTGAAAAAAAGAAAGCCAGTATTTTGGACCTCTCTTCTCCATCCCTCGATCAGGCTCCCAACGTGTGCACTTTTAGTTTCTCAAGTGAATGTACTTCTCTGACTGAATAAAAGCTGCTGTTGGATACTTGCCATTCCTGATGACCATGCTCCATGTGGCAGAGGCATGTGGACTGGTGCTGCTTAATCTTAAGTGCTAGAGTCTCAAAACTGCTTGTCTGTGGGGACCACGCATTGGGGCTGCCTTTGCCAGGCGAATGAAATCCTGGACCTGAGGGTTTTGTCCCTGCAGAAGTAAGTGAATGAGTGAGCAGTTCCAGCATCTGGGATGGCAGTAGTCTTCCTGCTAGGCCTGGGGGAGGCAGTGAGCACTGCTGGCCCCTCCCGGGCCTGGTGACGTGACCAGCAGGAAGGAAGCCGGCAGCATCAAAGGGCCCTGGGTAGAGCTACATGCTTGCACCCTCTCTGTGATGTGAGGTTCTACGGCTTTGCATTTTTATCAGTTGCAGGCTAACAGCTTCCTTCCCTTGGTATGTTGTCTGCTTTTCTGACTTGCCAGATTTTTCTCACACTTTTCAAATCCAACCTAAATGACTCTCTGCTGGCTGGAGCTAAGAACTAAACAGCTTGATTCGCAGTGGCTGAATCTAGGCCACAGCACCCAGACCCTGAGGTGCTCAGAAAAAGGGGCTGGATTCAGGCTTCCTTTGCCTTCCTCATAGGGACCCTTGCCTGGGCTCTGCCCCCAACTTTCCCTTCCACTCTGGAAGAGACCTGGGTGACCTGCAGTCTCCCAGGGCTGCTAGCAGCTACAGAGCTGAGCCCTTGCTGCCCCTGCCTGAGCCAGCTGGCCTTGCCGTGGATGGAAAAGGGATTCCCCCCAGATCCTGGAAAATCGCCCCAGCACAGCACTGGGGGGTGGAATGATCCAGACATTAAAATTTAGGTGGACAAAAGATAATACTGTAGTGCTTCTCAAACTGAGAAGAGAGGTCAGTTTTTTTCCCCTCCAATTTTCAATGTATCACAAGTCTAGTTTTTATAAACCATAATAAGATAAATTACTAAAAAAAAAGATAAAAATCCAAGACATACAAAGTACAACTTCAATCACTTATCTCTAGATTCAACAGACATCAATTTACTCTGTCAAACTGCTGTAACATTTTTTGTTTTCTGCCAATTTCTGTGCTTGTCTTTCCTCAGACCAGGAGCAGTTAGAGGACAGCCAGCCCCATCTGCATGCCACCCTCCAGCTCTGTGAGTCCTGGAGTGGTGTGTCTGTTGAGTGTGACAGAGTATTAGCATATGTGTGTGTGTATTCATTCAGGTGAGTGTATGTGGGCAAGTGTGGCATGGGGAGGGAGGGAAGATAGCCTGTTTGGAATAGGGCTCAGAGCTGACTCTTCTTGGGCACAGGCTCCATTCAACTGGTGCTGAAGGGTGAGTGCACGCACACCCAGGACAGGGGCACGGAGAAAGCTGCAGGGACAGAGACGAGCCTTTTCCACAGAACAGACCAGATGCCCAGTGCCAAGCAGGCAAGCCTGTTGGTGGCTGCTGTGCCCACTCTGACCCTGCGCAGAGCACCTGGCTGTGGTTGGGTTCAGTGTGGACCTGCTGTGGCGGACATGGGCCAGGGGCCTGCACATTTACCCCACCTCCCCCCCAGCCCCATGAGGCCCTGTTGTGGTCAGCCCTGCCTTGTGGCTCAGAATCCCAGGAGCCTCCTGGGGTGGCAGAGCTGGACGCTGAGCCCACAACTCCATTTTCATTCACAGCTCCTTTCTGTGAGATCATTATTGTTGCTGTTAGTTCTCTTTGGGAAAGTTGTTGGCCTCAGGAGAAGCACTCCATGCCCAGCATTGAGAAGCACTGGCTTTCAATGAATGGCCTGGTCAATCTGGACTGGGAAGACTGTGATCAGAAATACATGACGGAACACAATGTATTACACATTATTTTAAAGAAGGGTTTTATAACTATCAGTGT